CCCTTTGCGGGGTCAGCTCGAGGGGGGGGGGTGTGGCGGACCCCGCTCTAGATGGGGTAAGCTGTAAACATGTTTAGCTTTGAAGGGGATTTCAAAACAAGGCCCAAGGTGTCTCTCGGAGGAGCGAGTAGGAAGGTAAGAAACGGCGCCTGTCTGTCTCCGCGTCTGTGTCGGTTTCCCTCGTCCCCCCGCCCGCCTTCCCTTCTTGTATTATCGTTATTTTTACCGTTGGGCCTTCAAAAATGGGAGCAGCTATGACTAAGGTTTAATAGAGCGAAGAAATCCTCCCCTCCCGATGATGTGTTTATCTCTGATCTCCGTGGCTCTGTGTTGTTTTTTTTTTCTTTTCCTTCCTTTAAATCAGGCCACACACACCCTCCCAGGCTTGTAGTGTAGTAAGAATTGTGGGAAGCGAGGAAATGTCTCCTTAGCTCGTCCCCCCTGCAAGCAATCCGGTTTGTTGTGGCTGGTAGCACCTCCCGAGCAGCTCGTCTCTAGGGCTCCCGGGGTGAAGGAGGGAAGGACTCGGAGACCTCTTGTCATTTCTGTCCAAAGGGAAAGTCTTGCGTGGGCCCACCTCGCTGGAGAGGTGGGGGGGAACAGCCTTACACAACTCGAGATCAATGCAAATTGCTGGGGGAGGCTTCATTCACGTGAGTGGGGGGGTTGCCGGGACACAGGTTCAGCTTTTCAGTCAATTTGTCGTGTGCAGGGTGAGTAGTAGTTAATTGTCTGCTGTACCAGGCTATTGAATGTCCTTGTATTTATTGATGGAAAAGAAATGGTTCATTTGGATCTTGCTGATTGGATAGGGTGGTCAAAGGTTTAGTCAGGCACTGAGGGGCATAGAACTACCAAAGAACAAGAAAAGGGACAGTGTTTTTAGAAGTGGCCTGATTTGTAAGGGTCACTTTAATTCATTGCTAAAATACTGATTCCCCGTGTTGTCATTGGACATGATTGTGTGGGAAGCTACTGAGAGTTTTCATTAGTATTTTTGAATCTTCATAGGGGTGAAAATAATTCTTAAGTTTTTGTTATTGTGCACTGTAAGCAAGTTTGGTTCTCTGAAACTTCTAAGGTTTGGCAATACAGTTAGAAAACTTGGGCTAAAATACTGTACCATGTGATATTAAAATCACAGTGAAGTTTGCGTTTTGGTGTATTGTCTTACATAATTCATTAAAGAGAACGTGTAGCAGAACTGTATTTAAATTGTGCAGCTTTTCATCTGAATAATCTTCTGTTTATCTTAAGACGTTTCTGTTCATCAGACTACATACAATGGCATTACATCAGTCAGAAATGCCATAAATATTCCCCAGATGAAGCAGGAATTGGCAGAACATGCCCTGGTCCTCAGCTGTACACTTTAGGTACTTTGCAACTTTTGACAGTGACTTGCTAATAGTGTTACTTGCACAACATGTTTCCTTCTACAGAAATAAACAACTGTCATAATATCTTCTTTTACACCTACTGATTTTGTCATGAAAATTCAGCAGATTTCTATCTATTTTAATTATATGGGACAAATTTGTTAATGTTATACAGGTACACATCTCCAAGGGCAAATATTAAAAGGTAAAGGAAGTGGAAAATGAAATTGATGCATAACCTTCACTCAGTCCAATACAGAGGTGGTATTTCATGATCAGATTGATGCTGACTGGTCCACAGATTTCATGATCTTACATTGGTACCGTGAAGTGCTTGTGCTGTGTCAACGCAAATCAGTTAGTCGCAGCCTTGGACGTCATGGTTATATGGACACTGTAGAATGCCCTTGAAATAGCTGCTTATTTTCAGAAACTGTGTAGAGTACTAATGAAAGAATTTTTTTAAACAGTACTAAGTTACTTCTAAAAATGCAGTGTAGCTGAACTTCTGTGTAAGCATACTACAGCACAGATTGGTGTGTCAAGTGTTTACATGGGTTTCATGAGCTTCTCATTATCTCACGTCACAGGCTCCTTGGGATCATGTTTCTCATACCTATAGGCTTTGGTTTTACAGAAGGCTGATTTGTAAAATGTTTCCTTTCAGCTTTTTGTGCACATGGAAGAAAAAAATTGTTCTTTGACAAACCCCCTTGCCCTCCAAAATGTGTGTAATTTTAGAAAGATACGGTGCGTTTCCAACCCTGCACCTCTGTGATGCTCTATTAGCTGGATGCTTAGTACTGCCTGTTTTGATTCCTTTGGTGGAATAAAGCACAACTCAGAAATACTGGTAGAATCTGCGTGCAGGCTGCTTAATGCTAAGAATAACTCTCTACCGAATTTGGGGAAGCTTCCCAAGTGTTGTTGCACCTGTATGGCTACATTAGCAAAACTCTCCCAGTATGAAAGCAGGGACTCCAGTTTGAGGAGCTAGTCAGTGCTAAAGATGCCAGCAGAGTCTTTCTGATGTGGATACAACTACAGCAAAATAAACGATCAACAAAACTGACTATTAAAAGTATGGTTTTGCTAACATAACTGCAGCTGCAAACAATAACTGTGTTGGTCATGGGTCATGTGTCGATACCTTGTCTGATACTGATTGACATGTATGTCTGTAGTGTTTCCTTAGGCCTTATGAGGGGTTGATGTCAATAATGCCTACCAGTATAGGCACAATGATGGGAGTGTAGTTGGGGACTCATGGCAGTTAGAAAGGTACTGAATATAGTGTGCTTTCTCACCGCTAACTTTTATGGCATTTTTGAATTACAAAAGCAGAGAGCTTCAGGTTTGTTTTTATACTGGTTGCATCTTACGTTGATGTGCATTATGATGGTCTGAACTGCGGATGCTATAGAGAGGCACTTCAACCAAACCTTTTGCCAAAAAAAGTAGTATTTAAGTATCACTTATTTTTGTTAAAATCCTGGGTTGCAAAATTAATGTTCTCAACTCTCCCTGTGACTGATCCTTTCAGAATATTATTGTAACGTTTTAATATTGCATTGTACGTAATAAAGTGTAAAAATATAGATGGTATTGTCAGTGTTTGGACTTTTCCCTCAGTATCTACTTTCAAAAATCTGCTGATTAATTTGGACTATTTGCATTAGTTTTATATGTGTTTGAGGGTGTAGATACTGTATTTTATTTACAATGTGATAAGTTAATTTTTGTGGGTGTTTTTTTTTTTAAATTTTTGGGTTTGCTTATTGTTACCCTCAAAACATGATTCCCTGCTTTATTCAAAAGATATTTTCAGATTTAGTTTTAATTGTAACCGGCAAAGCATATTTTTTTACTTCTGAAGTAAAATAGCTTCCAAAAATGAATGTTGTTATTGGAGTTCAATATGGGAATGTCTTGACTTATTCACGGACTTTTTGTACAGGACAGTAATTGTTGCCTAAAAGGTTGTGGCTGAATTTCTGTGGTGTGTCAGGCAGGAAAAAAGGGGTGTGTCTAAAGAGTTAGTTTGGGGTGCAGTTCAAATTGAACTAGCCCAACCTAACTGCGCAGTGGACTGAAACATCTGGTCCTTCACCTGGGTGGTTCCCACCCCATCCTTTGCGTCTCATATAGGTGGAGTGTCACCATGCCTTCTGGTGGCAGCTGGCAGGTTTCACTCATTTTATCATGAAGTTGGACTCCTGGTAGCATAGTGCAGAATCTGTTTAACCACATCAGCTTCATTTGGTACAGTTGGGCCTAGTGTTCCTTTATAATAAGTTGATCAGTGTTAAGAACAGGTACCTTGTATTATTCTTTAGTACATCCATGCAGGGGGATCCCCATGCCTGTGCTGAGATGTACAAGGGGCTCTGTAGCTCCACATTATTCGTTTAGGTTGTGAAATGTATTAATGACAACTTGTAAACCTTTAATAGGAAAAATGGTTAAAAGAATATTATGAAGTCAAATTTACAGTATCACTTGAGAGATCTAAAACATGCTTTTATAAATCCCAAGACTGTTTAAAACAGGGTATTTTAAAATTACAATGCAGTATGAGATGGCTTTAAAAAAATCTTCCTTTTCAGGAATTTGTGATACAGATGAGTTAGCACTGTCATGAAAGTGAAACCAACTTCACTGAGTTTCTTTTCGGTTTTTGGTTTTGTTTTTGTGGAAGACATGGAAGATTACTAATGAACAAACAGTGACGACTCCATCTGTATTTTAAAAAGTCTGTCTAATTTCTTTTAATATGGGCATTTTCAAAAATCAGAGATTTTCAATTTACAAAGCTTGTTTATATTTTATTTTAGTAGTTACTGATATGCTTTCTTAACTTAATAGCACAACATTAAGCATTATATTCCTGTATATTTTTCCCCCTGCTCACAGCTGAAGTGCAGAGGTGGAACTCCAGAACCACCTTGTTTGTGCTTTGTTGTCTGTATTCTATGCATGAAGTAACTTCTTGTGGAATAAAAATTAATGATTTAAAAACAGTAGGCTGCAAGATTGCCAGTGTATCGAGAGGTCTGCACAGGTTGGGATTGCTTATGGTGATAGATGTCTATAGGATTTAAGTAACAATGGAACAGATTTAAAAAACAGTTTTGTTTAAAGTTGTTAATAATTTCAGGCAGGAAGAATTACTGTTTTACTGTATCTTACTTGAACATACACCAGCTGGTAACGGAAATGAAATGATGCTAGGGATTTATAGTACAGGATTTCTAGACTGCAATTACAAATTTACATTTTATATTTGAATGGTGGGAAAGAATTGCAGTGCTTTGCTCCGTAAGACCTTTGTCCCATAAGGCACATGGCATAGATCCTTATGCAAGTACATACCTCATTCTGAGTCACAACTGTGTTTTGTCCAGAACATTGAAATGTCAAAGCCTAAGTCTTGAAGTGCTCTTTGAATTTCAGATCTGTGGCGTGGAAATACGATGAGACCATCATGTTGTAAAATAATGACTGTCTGTCAGTAGGAAACTATATAATTAATGCATACTGGATTCTTGTGGATTTTTTCCCTCTCGGTGACATTTAAAATTCTCCTCATTTGAAAGGAAGCTATGAACGATGGAGTTGTAGTTAGCTGACAGCAGTCATTACACTGTTATTTTCAGTTATGTGCTATTTTCTCAAATTCAAACCAAAAATTTCTGCTTTTACAGATATATTTTTTCCTGCATGTTTCTGAGAAGATGAAAAGTCACTCAACTACAA